TTGTTTACCTGAAAAATAAAAAGCAACCAATAGGAATACAAGATAAATACGGATATTTAAGTAACAAAAAAAAAAGAAAGAAGATAAATACGGAGTTAATTAGAAAACAATTTACAAATAGGACTTTGTAATATACCTTTCTCCGTCTGGAAAAAGGATTCCATGCATAGTCTATTTAAGTAGTGCTTATACTCCTCTCTCTTGTGCTCATTCTTTATTTCCTTATTGTTATCGATATTCATTGCGAAGAAAAAAGGATAACTAATTTCGATAACGATGGTGAACGACGGTGGAGATGTTCAGCTCGAGAAGAGATCCTACGATATTTTATCTTTAGCAACGGAGAGAACGGTTAGAGTTTTTAGTGATAAGGGAAAAGGGAAAAGGTCGAGTAGGGAAGCTAGTACCGTGGAGGTTGAAGAAGACAGTCTAATTAGGGAAACGAAAAGCTTTTCCTTGCGCAAACGGAAACTTGACGAGCACGAGACTCAAAGCCCTAATCGTGTTGCTTCCTCTTCAAGTTCGTTCCCTGTTGCGTCCAAGAGGCGTCTTGTGGTACCCAACGAACCCGTTAGGGAAATAGAGCCGGTTAGGGAAAGAGAAGCGCCGGTCAGAAGAGAGGAGGCGGTTAGAGAGAGGAGGGAAACGCCGGAATGGTTGGTTAACTTGATGAGAGAAGAGAACGGTTTCGATGCGAAGCTGATATTCGAAAAGAAACTAACTGCGACTGATATTGCCAAACACCAAAACCGTCTCTTGATTCCGTTGAACAAGATAGTGGATCATGACTTTTTGAACGAGAAAGATATGAAGACCATAATGGAACATCACCTCAAGAGGGGTGACAAAGGAGTTGATGTCATCTTTGTTGGGTTTAAGGGTCAAAAGTGCGAACTTAACTTTAGGAGATGGGATATGAAGAGCTCTGCCAATTACGTTTTGGTTTCTGGTTGGCATAATGCCGCCGCCAATAACGGCCTCCGTGTAGACCAAACCATTCACCTCTGGTCTTTCCACTCACCAGAAAATCTCTATTTTGCTCTTGCTC